TTCCTGCCCTTGGGGCAGGGGGCTGGACTCGATGATCTTCCGAGGTCCCTTCCAGCCCTAATGTCTATGAAATCTATGAAATGCCTGATACCACAAAAGGGTATCATTAGGCAGGATTATTAGAGCCAGACAGGGCATTCCCAGCACCACTCTGACTCGGAGCAGTGCTGGATGCACACCGCAGAAATAGTGATGTTACTTTTCTTTGCAATTGGTGAGCATGGAGTAGCAGTGAGTGGGCAGGACTTGTTTTCAACACAGTGCTTCCAGCTCAGTCCACTGTGGTGTACCATGCCCACTCCAGAAGAGCTGTTACGGGAGTTAAGTGAGATGCAGTGCTATAGCATCCATTTCCTTGCCATTCTGCTAGAGCCACATTAATGCAATGGCTGTAGGCTGTGCTGGGGAGTCCTTTTGGTTTTCCCAGCTGGAAAAATGAACAGGCTCATGGAGCACCTCTGCCCTCCCCAGAGCCAAAATAGCAGTATGAATTAGTGAGGCACTTGTTGCAAAAGGAACAGTTGTAGAGACCTTAGATCTGAAAAGGAGGTCCATTCTCTGGGGGATCAGATATACTTGCCCCTCTCCATCTAGAAAAGCTTGCAGGCTCTGATAGCTGGCCATTGGAAGAGCTAGTGACAGAAGGTGCTAATGGGAGAGAGACCAAGATAAATAACATTTTTGCCCCAGCATTCAGACTGAATTCTGCCACTATCTTGCTCTGCATTTTCTTTCTTCCCCACTTTTCCTGCAGCTGCCTGGTATTTTGCAGACTGAAACTGAAACTTCAATATGATATGAATCTTTCTGGACCAATACTGGCAGGCTCTGTTGCAGAAAAGGGGAAATGGTAACACTTTTAACCCCTTAACCGGGGGACCTCTCTGTGTGATGAATTGTATGGCTGGACTAGCCCATGCATCCTTCCAATAACCCCTAACCTGCTGCCTGATATTTATGTACTAGCTGTGTGGGGTGCTGCACTTAACTTTGTTCTCTGGCCAGTCCTGTTCAGTCTGGATCTTGTTCAGTCTGGCCAGTCTGGATCCTAGGACTCTCTATATGAAAGAATCATCTCTTCATCTCTCTCTCTCTCTCTCTCTCTCTCTCTGCAATTTGGAATAAAATCAATACTGCTGCTTGTTGCTAAATTGTCAAACAGCTTTTGATGCTAATCTCTGATGAAGCAGCCGTGCTGGTATAGATATTTACACTCAAACAGTTTCTCTATCATCCACCATCTGTTTTTAAAGGGTCTTTTTTTCCTTTTTTTCCAGTGACTAATGGTGCATTTAACCCCGGAGAGCCTGCTTGTGATCTGAACATCAGAGGGTTTTTGCAGCAGAGGAACAGAAAAAGAAGTGGGGGAGGGAAGATGAACGTGTGAAACAGGACTCATGTAGGAGCTTCCTGTTGTTTTAAACTTGGCTTACTGGTAGAGTTGTTCAGATCAAACTAGAAATCTCACCTCTTAAGGCAGCCACCACCCAAACGCTAGGTATGGCCATCAGAATTACCCCATCTTCTCACTAGAGCCTGGAGCTCGTATCAAGGAATCAGTTTGCATAGCTATGAAAGGCAGTGTTGTTGTTCAGGGAATAGGGAGTCAGGAGATGTAGTCACTGACCTACTATTTAAATTTGGGCAAGTTGCATGAACTCTTTGGGTCTATGTTCACTTTTTCACTATAGTGGCACTTTCCTTTGTAAAGCTGTTTGGATTCTATAAAGGAAAATCATAACAGCTAAGTATTATTTTTCCTTTTGGAGACTAGAGGTTAGTGTCTGTGGCCAGCAAAGCCTCCAGGAGCAGAAAAGGGTTTCTTATGGAAACATGTAGGATATCCATCAGGATCTAGAGGAACACCTGTTCACCAGAACGCCCCAAGGGATGACAAGGTCCAACGGTCACAAACTCCTCCAAGACTGTTTTAGGTTGGACATAAGGAAAAACTTCTTTACTGTCCAAGCCCCCTAAGGCCTGGAATAGACTCCCTCCAGAGGTGGTGCAAGCACCTACTCTGGACTCCTTTAAGATGTGTTTGGATGCTTATCTTGCTGGGATCCCTTGACCCCAGCTGACTTTCTGCCCTTGGGGCAAGGGGTGGACTTCATGATCTCCCGAGGTCCCTTCCAGCCCTAATGTCTATGAAATCTATGAAATCCCTGATGGCTCAAACTGTGTCTACAGGAAAATGAAGCACTGCACCTCCAGGAAGGAGACCTTTGTGCCTCCTTCAAGCTTCTAAATGGGAAACTGACTGTAAGATTATTTTCAGCACTGCATTGGTTTAATTTGGCTTTCTGTTCAAGGAAGTGATAGACAGAGCGGTTGCATGGGTCCCACCAGGTATTGTGTGGGCAGACACACTGAGCAAGGTCTCTCAAACAGGCCTGCCAATGCAACTTCTGCTATTCCAGGATAAGTGTCTAAGCCAATGACTATTAGCTGTATGTTATTAAAATGGAGCTAGCTGGCTACTTAGCAGCTAAAGCAAAATAACCAGATTTTTTGTTACAAACAACAAAACTCACACTGGGACCCAGCTCTCCAAAGGTGAAAGGCTTTCCATTGAGCCAGTGTACAGCCTCCCTCTACTTGTGGGGATAAGTCTCCTAAAGCCAGTACTTTTCTGGAATTGATGTTTTTTTATTACTCTCCCACCTCCGTCCTCCCCAGTGCTCCTTAATCATTTGCTTCTGTAGACCCCTGCTCAGAGAAGCTCTCTAATGAAAAACCCTAGGACAACATAAGTGCACTATTGGCCTTGATTTCAGTACATTCATGAAGAAGCTGGCCTGCAGGACCTTTGGGAGCTGGACAATGCAGAACAATTGGAAAAAAGAAAATAACTTATAAAGAAGAACCATATATTTATTGGCTGGCAGTTTTCTTATTCATTTTGATGTTGTTTGGTGAGTAGCTTACATTGAAATGGTAACTATGGTGCCATACCATGTTTTAGGGCCGTGTTGCACCTTACACTGTGAGCTGCACAGAAGTTGATCAGCTTAGTGCTAGCTTGAAGCAGTCGCACCTTCAACCTGAGCAGCACATCTGTGAGGAATGGCTACACTTTAATGGATCAGGAGCTGGGTTGTGCTGATCCAGAGATAATCCTTCCCTGGAGCAGCATAACTTTGAGCCACATACTGAGTGCTTCAAGACACTTTAAGGTGGTGATCTGTGGACAATCCAGGGGTTAAAAGCTCCAGAAGCCACCCAAAATCACTGCCTTTAGAGTAAGGCAACAAAAACAGTTGGGGGTGTTTGTGTACATGTGCGTGACACTCCCACTCTGTATTACAGAAGGGGATTACACATCAGGGTAAGTAACCATCACAGATATTGCAAGTTTCCAAATCTATTAATATACTAGCAGGGGGAGGAACAGGAATTGCAGCAATAAACACATTTGCTAGGTTTAACAGTACAATTAGAACAATTGCACTGAATGATCTGGCTCCCTAGGCTTCAAATACAATTGCACAGTTCTAGAATAGTGCTGTCACAGAAGCCCTGACCCCCTGTTTGAATCTTGCCTCCACAGAAGCATCCTGAGTTTGGTAGATCTTAATCCTCCTGACAGCAATAGGGTTACACAAAAGGTCTGACTTCGACAGCACTGAGTTCAGGCTGCCTAGATACAGCCTTCTAACTTCATCTCACAGTCCCTACTGAAGAGTCCTCAAACCTCAGGCCATGAAAATGATTCAGCATAAACTAATACAGAAATACCTAGCTGGCTTACCAACACTTCTACAATAATTGCAACTGATCTCCACCTAAAGTTTGTAGAAAGCAATCTGCTTTCTGTGTACTGGCACTCCCTCGCAAACTGTGCTACCAGAGCTGTCTGCTGGTTCAGAACAATTGACAGGTTAGCCTCCAGCCAGCACGCTGATGCAAAAAGAAATCAAATACAGTGTAATAAAGTTTGCATGAAATTCTTACATGCAACAATTCCCCAACGTGCTGAACTGCATGATACTGCCTTCTATAATACATCTTTTTAACAGTTGGGCAAAGCAGAACAGAAAGTTGAATTAAGTTTTTCTTTATTTTCATAGATACTGCATCATGACTTGTGACTGTAAACCATTATTTAAATTATATTAAAATATATAAATAACCTTTAATATCCCATTCCCTGCTTCCAACTGAAACTATAGTAAACTTAACATATCTTGATAATAAATGCAGCTTTCTGATGGAATGATCCCAGAACTGAAATGTCCATTTTACAGAAATAACCATAATTCTGAAATATGATTTTGGTTTGAACTGGACCCAAACATCAGATATTAAAAAATTCCCTCAAAACGATATTTAAAAAAAAAAATCCAGTGTATCAAATTTTGTTTTGTTGCAATTTAGACTTTTCATTTAAAAAATGTTCTTGCCATATAAACTAAAATAAATTTCAAAGCAAAGTGTTGTTTCAAAACAACAGCAGCAAAAGAGAAAGTCCAACCCTGAAAAATGTGGAAATGGAACATAATTATACTAAAACACTTTGTTTCAATTATTTAAAATGAAATTTCATTATACTCGTGGAAAGTTTTGATCTGACAAAATGGCATTTTCCAACAGAAAATGATCCCTTGAAAAAGTTTTCAATGGGCTTTTCAGTTTTGTTCTCATAAAGGAATGAGGAAATGGATTTTCTAACAGTATATTTTTAAAAGCCTGTTATTTCTCTATGCTATAAGTGCTTTTATTGACAAATAGTGTGTCAAGTGGCATGACATGATATCTTGAGTTTTGGAAAACTCAGTCTAACTTAAGATATGAACAAAGTTGAGAAATGTTTCCAGCTTCTATCTAAAAACCTTCAGCAGATTGATTTAAAGAGACTTTGATGGAAACAGAGCTTACCTACTGTACATATATTCAATGGGTTTTCATATGTGTCTTCAGTAGATGGGCGTAGTCCAAACCCCGAATTCCAATTTGAACCTGGGCCTGCAGCTTGAATTTCTCTTTAATGGACTGAAATATTATTAATCTGTACAGAAGTAGCAACTAGAAGTCCCAGTCATAAAACAAAATTCCATCGTGTTAATAACCGCTGTGCAAACACAGAACAGCAATGATAGTCTCGGACCTACAGGACACCCTGAAATTTGGGAAAGCTTGGTTTCAAATCCTTATGCACTGGAGAGTTTAGACTGGGCTCATTTCTATTTTATAATAATTGGTACCATTTCCAATTCCAATCTCTGCTTCATGTTGTCTGCTACCCCAGGATGATGAACAGGTTGACCATACCTAAAAGGACATGCATCTGTGTGTGTGTGGGGGGGGCGGCGTTAAAACAATACATCCCAATGAAGAATTAACTAACTGACCTGTAGGTCGTGTTCAAGTTTGCACCTCATGCCCTTCTCTCTCTGTTGAATCCAAACACTGATGCCAACAGTTACCCTGATAGGAAAATCCACAGGCACATTGATAGCCTGTATGGCTGAATATGTTTAGATGGGTTGCAAAGGTGTGTGGCTCAACTAGTATACATGAGCAGACATTCACAATAGTATCACCAGGGCTTGAGCAGTATCAGCAAGGCTCAAAACTCACAATAGGAACTTAAGGTACAATGAGATTCTGCCTCTTCATGGACTCACTCCTGTCCTGGTTTATAAAAAAGTATTAGGTCTATTGTTTCATCTGATCACAATTGCTATTCCTTCTCTTCCCATTCATTCTCTCTGCATAAAGAAGGATCAGCACTAAGACCTGCAATCTCAGGATATGGTGAACATCCGGAAAATGCCCCTGGAGGACATTTGTCCTCCCCGAAAAGGTATTTTCTTTATCTCTTGAGTTACAGGAGGGTCATGTTTACTATGTACACCAGTTGGCTATCACCATTTGCCCCAGGAGGGGCTGCAGGTCATTGCACATGCACACTGTAATTGGTATCAATTGCAAAATAGAGGTAAGAGTAGCAGTAGTAATATCATCTCCCTAATCCTGTTAGCTGTGGAGGGCAGCTTCCCAGGAGACAGTGGGGTAAGAAAGTACCTATTCTTTGAGAAATACTTGCTATGAACAGCCTTTAAAACATTAATGATCTGATGGGAACAGGAGCGGGAAGTAAGACAGAAACTGACATAAATGAATTCTAAAAGATACCATGAATTAAAAAATAATGGGCACCGTGACAAGGATAGGCACAGTCAGGTAAGCCAACAGGGACAGACCCAAACACGTCACAATATGCAGGCACCGAGTACACCAAGAACATCAGAAGCTTCGCTCAAGGACACACTGCAGAAGCTTGTCTGGTGTGGGTGACCATGCCAGATGTTTTGCTTGGACTCTGTGCTTTTTTATTAACAGCTGCTGCATGCTGGCCTGGAGCACTGGAACCAGGGATTTAGGATCAGCACAGGATCAAAGAGCACTTTCCATATAAAATCCCTTTGGAAAAACAGAAAGGAATGGTTGATTCTGGGGTAGCTGGATACACAACAGACTGGGCACGTCTACACAGGATGCTTACTGCGCTTTAGCCTAAAAACACTGCACGGTAGCGTGACATGGCAAAAATCATGCTAACAGCCTACTGTGCAGTGTTATTAAGTGTTATTAAGCTAAATAACTGTGCACTGGTGCAGTAATTTTAGGTACTGCGCATTTAGTTAGTACTTTATTAAGGCAGTACTAAATTAAATGTGCAGTATCTAACATGCATTAATAAACATGTAGATGTGCCCACTGAAAAGCTAAGTTGATGATTTGAATTCATTCCATGTCAATAATGGCGTATGTCACTCCTGATGGCTGCTGTGAAATGAAATTTGGTGGCTTCAATTCAGTGCCTACTGTACAGGGCAACATTTTCCAAAGCCCTATGTAACCAAGAAGCATAAGTCCTATTGCTCTGCAGTGGGACTTGGCTGCTTTGTGACTTAGCTGCTTTTTAAAATGGCCCTTGGGCTCCTAAGCCACTCAAGCATTTTTGAAAAATTTACTCTGAGCATCTACAGCACTTAAATCACAGCACAGTGAGATGCTCACTGGCCACTTTGTTGGTAATCATGGCAAAAGGCACTGGTCCCTCCTGCTCAGAGCACAGACGGTGGCAAGCAGCAGTGCTGGGGAAGCATGTAGATGTCAGTGGCTAAATGGAAACAGCCAGTCTCTAGGAGGGTCAGTCTGATTCTCTCCATCTGGAATAAAATATATTTGTTAAGGACAGAGGTGCTTGAATGAGTACAGGGGTGCAGCACCCAAAACAGGGATAGCCTACGTGAAACATGGACAGACCTGTAAAGGTTTGATTTGCCACCAGGAATTGGGAGACTGCTTTGCTGAGAGTGTCATGACTACAGAAGAATACTGTGCGCATTGTTAAGCAGAGGTTTAAAAATAAAGAGTAGACTGTCATTTTAATTAATGCCAGGAACAAGGGCTGGTTTCCGTCCTTCCCTTCTGACTGCACATGCACATACAAACAGGGCTGCAGAGCTGCTCAGGCTATCAGTGGCAGTGTTTCTGTTGCTACTGGGCAGCCTGCAGCTTCTTTAATGGCATACATTCAGCAACTTCACTTCGGCTGTAGAGCACATCACAGGTTCTATGTCCTTTAGCCTGACCCTCAGCCTTTCTCTCCCTATACGATACACTTGTCTGGTCACGTCAGGAGTGTTAAATGAGCCAAATGAGGTCTGTATTTATATAAAATGAATTCTCTCAAACTCCCTCTTGAGATGTCTGTCCTTCGCGCGTGTTAAACAGCTGCAGTCTCTGAATGGAGGCTGGTGGGTCAGAAGCTATGCTGGTGGCAGCATTCTGATCCGTGTCCTAGATCCCTAGCATCTGTGACATTCACTGTTAAACACACAGCTCGAATTCCCATCCACACATACATTCTGCCAGCAGCAAGAGTCCTCAGCCAGCAAGGATGGAACAGGAGTCAAGGGCACTGTATCAGAGACCTCTGAAAGCCCCAGTTCCACTTTGGTGTGTCCTTTCGTTACCAAAGAGCTTCATTTTGTTTATTATTTTCTATAGCTGATCTTCATCTATCCAGATGGTTTTACGCTGCTCTTCTGCAATCTTCTCTTTGATGACTCGGATGAGATCCTCAATGCTACTCCACGTATCTGTCTCTACAGAGGCATAAAGACATGGCAGTGCCTCTAGTTCTTTTTCCTTTTGTCGGCACATACGTAGGAACTCATCCTCAGTCTCTGGTTTTGGCAGTAGCTTCCTGCATCAGATGACCAAGTAAAAAAGAAACAGAATAAATTTATGTTTAAAACATCCTGACAATCTCAATTGTCCACCAAGAGCTGGTAGATAGAAGATAGGGCAAGCTAGCCCTGTAGAGACTAACTGGTTGTTACAGAGATCAACTCTCCCGACAAAACTGACACGGGGAATAATGATGCAGCATTGTGCATAGGGAGATCTGCTCCAGATCCATCATCTCCCAGCTGGAATCACTGTAGGAAACAGCATGGGAGTGCTGCTTATGGGGAACCTCATAGATCCTCCAAACCCAAATTCCCTCAACAAGCATTCATAGATTCATAGATTGTAAGGCCAGAAGGGGCCTTGGAAGATCATCGGGTCCAGCCCCCTGCACCAAGCAGGAAAGGTAACTGGGGGTCAGGCCATTGCTATCATGAAGAGCCTGTTGGAACTCATAGTTACTTCATTTGTAATACTTCAGGGAGGAATCACAGAAGAAAATAGTGCACAGAGTAGCCCTAGATGAGAGAAAAGAAGTAGGAGCATGAGATGAGAGAGAAGAAGCTCTGTTTCACTCAGAGATAGTCACGGGACTATAGTTTTATTCAGTGAATAAGAATATCAAATGTTCAAAAGGTTTGATACGTTACCTGAACCTCTTGATGTTTTTCTCTGAGACTCTGATAAAGAGAACAATGGGATATATCTTGGCTTTGATTAAATCCTTTGTGCAACTTATTCCAGCTTCCAGTAGACAATGCTTATTCTAAAAACATAAAGCGATAACAATGCGATGAAGGAACATTCATAGAAATAATATCTTGAAATAAGGATATATCCCCCCTCAGCTAGGTCAGGCGAGTTGTCCTTTATTTATCACAGAACAGATTTAACTTCTTTGTAATCAACTGCACATTTCAGGGCTAAACTCCTCCCACCGATTCACACCTAGCCACTGACTGGCAACAAAGAACACTCAAAGCTGATTTAGTACAAGAACTCTGTGTCTGCAGGTTTAAAAATGGGAAGGAATCGATCTAAAGATGAAACATAGGATAAAACACGTAGGTAAATTTTAGATAGAGAAACAAACACATGTTTAGTCTTTGTTCAAAGACAAAATATGTTACAGCTACCCGCTGGAAAAAAATGTTTTAATTCTCCTTCTTCCCCCTACTATGCATCAACTATACTATAATTGATGTGATCTGTCTGCTTCTGACATGTTATCTTTTTACTGTATGTCACTGTCTCTGTGTCTCAGTCTGTTCTTTCCTTGTAACTCTTCCTCTTTTCACATTCACGTATA